TGAAGAAGGCGAACTCGCCGAAAAGTTAGCCCTATAAAGTGTAGAATCTTGGAAAGGCTGAAGCAAATAAACATACATATCGGTGAAAAGTCATGCCAAGATTAAAAGAAAGTCGATCGTGGTATGTTCTACTATTATTGTTCTCGCGAAAAGCATGGTAGAGTCGTTACCACATTACTACTTGTATCACATATCACCCTTAACAGTAGAAGTCATTTTTGTCCTCATCCGTCTACAACCCGACACGTCACGCATCACGCAACAGCATGTCAAAATTTCACTGTTCAAATTCAAATTAATTACACGTTCCACAACATTCAAAATGAGAATTAACAACTGTTAGCATGAAGGTTTCCGGCGCTTTTGTTCTGTAGCCACTCTTCAACCCTAATCAGTTGTTATCGCTTCGTGTCTATAATGTTCGCCATCCCCATCACAAACCACATCACTCACTCAAGCGTTAAGATACGCTGTGAACTGTTTCCCTGTTTCGCGAAAGGCGTAGCGTACTCAACTACTCCCCACTTGAAGACATTGGAAGCGCATCGCGTGTCGCTTGAATTTGAACGCTTTTTAGTTAGCGTGTGAACTGGGGCGGTTTCTCTCGTACAAGCTCAGAGATATGAATAGTTTTCCCTCTTGGATTACTTAATCTTCTTTAGACGGGAGAGATAAACGAATTCATCTATAAACTACCGTGTAGCATCTGTTTTAGATGCCGACTGGATGTTGATCGCTTTGCAAATCTATTTTGTCTCTGGGACATTCAACCATGCACTCACATTAGCTGTGCATGAGATCAGTCACAATCAGGCATTTGGTACTTCTCGACCACTCGCTGTTAGTATTTTATTTTGATTTTTTTTTTGATTTGGAAATGGTGTTGCTGTGCTTAGCTAGCTACCTCTCTACGAATGGATTTCCAGAATCGATTCTTCGGGTTTATTGCCAATCTTCCCATGTGTATTCCCATGTCCGTTTCATTCAAAAAGTACCACATAGAGCATCACAGAAACTTGGGTATGTTCATGACCGCTCCACATCCATCATTGTACAATTGCTCTAATAGCGGTTCCTGTTCCAGGTGAAGACATCATCGATACTGATGTGCCTACAGAATGGGAAGCTAGGACGTTTTGTACAACTTTCGGGAAAGTGATATGGATGTTACTTCAGCCAATATTTTATGGTATTCGCCCTCTGGTAATTTATCCAAAAGTACGTTTTCTTTTGTACTCATGTTATACTCTTGCCGAAGCTGCTTCCTCGTGGATGATTGCGATCTCAGTTTTCATGTTATCCTTCGCCTGTAATTGTTCATTATTTTGTGGATGTTGCACCACAAACTTGTTACCTTCTTTCGTACAACCCTGGTTCTTTTACTTAAAGTCCCTCCTTGATCATACTTGCGGTGCACGTAGAGGCAATGTGATGACGGAATCATGCGCATGACCAGTCCGTGCGGCATTATAACTTTTGTTTAACTCATTGAAATATGGCTAAAAGTCAATTTCAGATATAGTTTGATCTGATTTTAGTCGATGACGGATTTGGAATTGCTCAATATTGTACTGCAACTAACCTTCGATTATTTTATCTATTCCTATTTCGGTGTTAAGTCGCTTTTGTACCTATTTGGCGGCCTCGTCATCGGACTAGGCTTACATCCATTGGCTGGCCATTTCGTCTCCGAACACTATGTTTTCAATCCACCGCAGGAAACTTACAGGTAAAACTTACTGATGTTTTTGCATTGCCGTTGTAAAACTTTTCGAGTTTCTCTAAGGAGTACTCTTGGAAAGCATAATAACCATATTCTCTTTAGTTATTATGGGCCTATCAATCTCGTGACGTTCAATGTTGGCTATCATGTAGAACATCATGATTTCCCGTTCGTCTCGGGAGCGAACTTGCCTAAAGTGAGTGATTTATTCGGTACAGTAATATAACCTAGACGGCTTTTTATAATGTAATTCCTTTACTACACAGCTATACCTTGTTTTCATCCTTGAATCGCACCTACAATAAATTATTTAACCCATTGACGACCACGAGGTTTTGCGGGAAAACGCCGCGAGGGACCGGCGCGCTTTTCGTCCACCAGCGACTGCAGCCCACATGTGGACTTCATGGTCCAGAATGACCATTTTTTGAAGTTTCTAAGGGAAAATTATTAGTTTTCAGGAATGTTCCTTCAAATGGGCTTGGTAAGAATGCCCACATTGAGTGATCATTGTTCTTTATTATAGAAACGGCATTCGTTCTAGTGGTCATTCAATTATGAGTTCAATCATCACCAGAAATCGTTTCGAAGAACTTTTTTTGCGTTGCGTTGGGAGCTTTGTGTTTGGTTGATGAAAGCGAAAATGCTAATGACGACCGACTTTTAGAAATATCCCATTTTTCGAAGTTGTTCAACGAACGAAGAACTCATCAAGGTAATGTACTCCCTTGAAAAAACACCTTTACAATTATAAAATCAGAAGATTTTCTAGGACCACGCTGTATGTAGTTTCATTTAGGTCTTATGTATTGTTTTTAGGAGAAAAATTATAAAAAAATGGAAAGGTAGATGAATAAAACAAACAAAATAATACAACTGCAGTCCATATGTGGACTGCATGGTCCCACATGGCCGAAAAGGTGCAGTCCACATGTGGACTGCATGGTCGTCAATGGGTTAAATTCACTTATTTGCAACATTACTAGATGTGCGTCAACTAATTGTGATTTTGGCAACGGGAACGCCTTGCTCGTAAGCTGCGTTTTAAAGCGCTTAGATCATGGTGGTTTGTTCTGTGCATGTTTTAGCTGTGCCTAACAAGTCTTAACTGCTCCTTGGTTTCAAGTTCTATCACAAGTTTGCTCAACTCATCACCATTCGAGGTTATTTCTCCAATGATGACAATTTTTCACATTACTCTCGATATTCCAATTACCATATAGAGTTCCCCTTCTCATTGGCTTCCAGTCAGCGCAGCCTTCTGAGTAACAGGAACTTTCATTTTTGAGTTTCTAGTGTAGCTTGACTTCTTCGTAAATAGTCTGATATGTTTCTTCAAGCTCGACGATTATATCTACTTATTTACTTGCCAGTCGGGCCGCCCCGCTAACGCCGAGCTTCCCTCCTTCTTATGGGTTCACCAGGCTACGCCGGGCGCTCCTCCTTCCTGTGGGAAATTTGCTATGCGTAAGTAACACTTCGGATTCTCCTTCTTTGAATGCTCTACGCCCTCAGTAATAGCTCCGAATTGGGAGCAATTTTTTCTGTAAGCCATCTTCGCTGTGTCCGAATAGAAAATCGCATAATAGGCGATTATTCAGAGAAAAAAAAAGTTTTCAGAGACTTATCGCGGCTGAGGCTAATATGTTAGCTACCATCAATATTCCCAGCCAACTCCTTGTGCCTTCGAGTTTCAGCGGACTGGATCCGAACGAACAGTATTTATTCACGCCCTGCAACCTATCATCAATGTACCTATCCTGCCTCCCGTTTTCCTACCAAGCCGCTCTAGGACCATTTTGACATTTCTCTGCAAGCCTCCTGAGGTCGGGGTCCGAACCTGTTACCCACCGCAAGGATTCCCATCCTGCCGCCTGTCCTCCCACCAAGTTTGAGCTCTTTAGGTCCACGTGGACAGAAGTTATGAATTTTCGCCCAAACCTCGCCCATTGTGGGCGGAGTCCGGTCTTGCCATCCACCATAAGTGTTCCCATACTGCCGCCTGCCTCCTACCAAGTTTTAACGCCCTAGAGCCGAACTGAAAGTTCTGGCGCAAACCTCGCCTTCCATGAGCAGGGTCCGGTCCTCTCACCTACGATAAATATTCCCATCCTGCTGTCTGTATTGCTGCCAAGTTTGAATGCCCTAAAGCCACATTGACTACTTCGGCGCAAAACCCCGCCCCTGTGCACGGAGTCCTGTCCTGCCACCCACCATAAGTGTTCCCGTCCTCTCGCCTGTGCTCCTACCAGGTTTGAACGCTCCAGGTCCACGGGAACGGGAGTTATGAGTTTGCGACCTAACATTTTTATCGTGCACGCCTCGCCCCTTATGAACGGAGTCCGGTCCTGCTAGTTACCAAAGGTATTCCCATCCTGCCCCCTTACTCCCTCCAAATTTGAACGCTCTAGGTCCACGGGGACAGGAGTTATGAATTTTCGGTCACGCACACACACCGACACACACACNTTAAGGATATTTTCTAGCATCATGAACAGATTCCCCAGCACGAATAACCTAGGTATCCGTCGCTTAGCCGCTGCTGCATTCTTCTGAACTTTTTTAGAACAGTTTATCGGTTTTTGCACCGTTTCATAATTATAAGGTTACCTTCAGAAAGTGAACACTTATTAACGAAAGAGAGGAAATTTCCTGTTTGAGGATACTTGTAAAGGTAAGCATGTGTAGCAAAGGCATTTCTAAACCTGACTGTCAACATGGCTAGTGGTCATCTGCTTTCCTCTGATGAGAAGGCTCATCATGAAGGTGGGCTCCGTACTCGAGCCATTTCCAGGCAAATAGAGAGATCCCCTTGGTCCATTCGGAGATTTCTAGAGAGTCCTCATGTCGTTAGATATAACACCGACTGTGGACACCCGTGAAAGATTACTACCCGTGACGAGGGGGAAATTCTGAGAACTGTTTCCAACAGTACGTCCTCCTTGAACCAGATCCGATCGGAATTAAACCTCTCTGTGTCGAAAACTACAGTCTGGAGAGCAGTGAGAAGATGAGAGAACATCACCAGGCAAGCAATGGAGAAGGTGCCACGGATCACCGGTCGTCACAAAGAGGCTCGACTCGGATTTGCAAAGATGAACCTAGGGAGAGATTGGACAAAGGTAGATCTGCATCGAAATCTCACCATAGACCTGAATAATTCCTACTCGGGTCGTCTTTTCGGATGAAAAGAAATTCAATCTGACGGAAACAAGCGGTACTAACGCGACTTGAGGAAGGAACCAGTCTACTTAAGCCGTCGCAGTTTCGGTGGAGGAAGCCCATGGTGTGGGGTGCATTCCGCAATGATGTCGTGTTGGATCTACCTGTCGTGAGCTGCAGTATGGATATCAAGGATTACCAGAAAGTTTGGAGCATCATCTAGTACCTTTTCTATGCCATCGCCGTCACCTCAACTATGTCTTTCAACAAGATAACGCCTACAATCATGTGAGCCGTGCAATGGATGAGTGGCTGCAATGCCAATAAATAAGCGTCCTACCATGGCCAGCCTGCAGTCCCGACCTCAGTCGGAAGGAACATATTTGGGACATAATATTCAGACAGGTTTATGCGACTAACCGTCAGTTCCAGGGCAAAGAAGAGCTGAAGCGAGCACTTATCGAAGCATGGAGAGCAACCGATGAGGAACATCTTCGAAACCTAGTTTCTAGTATGCCACACAGGCTCTTTGATGTTGCTCCTAAGCAAGGAGGAGCTATAGATTATTAACTGTTGTACATATGCCATTAACATTGATAAATCATTTACTTTCCTCAGGGTGACCTTATAATTATGAAACGGTGCAAATGCCGACACTATCTTTAAAAAATTCGTAAAAATCTGAGGTGAAAGATATTGCGACCAAAATTTGAGTACGGAGGTACATTGTGACGAGGAATCTACCAGTGTTTGCCAAAAATTCCATTCTGGCTGCGTTCTCCGGAACCGCAAAAATCTGGGGTGACCTTATAATTATGAAACGCGCTGTATACGATACATTAATTATACACACACTAATAAATGAAATTGTGGGCCGCCAGACGTCACAAATAGCCACTAGACATAAAAATTGAGAACACCATGCTTAGTTTTTGTACAGACAAATGCAAAACACATAAAAAACAAAAAGCGATAGCGAAGCAAGGTAGGAGTAACAAGGCACGGATGCAGCGAGGGAGTGTCGGCCGGGCAAACGCGACTAGCCGAGGCGATCCCGGGCGGGTCCAAGTAGGTGCCTCCTCGAACTACACACGTACCTCAGGTAAGCAGTAAAAAAAGGTAGGGCGACATCTGGAGCCAACCAAGGGGATAATGGGAGAGAATAGGAAATGTAGCTAAACAGAAGTTAAGAAGATGCAAATGCTAGCAAAAAGAAGCCAGATGCACTGATGCTCAGAAGTAGACTAAAACAGATCCAGGATGACGTAGTGGCTGGAAGTTCGGAACACCAGTCACTTTCATAAAAGCAATCCTGGCCGGAGCACTCTTGAAAAAGGAGTTTTTTCCTTTCGACTGCTCCCGATGGCGCAAAGCAGATAACTTCTAGAACGATTCACAAGTCTGTAAGAGGATAAATTATGACAGGACCTGTGGGTGGGCTTCTTAAAATACCAAAAATAGGAAAGGTTGAAGAGTATCCTACCTCAGAGAAACGTAAAAGCAAGAACTAGATTTGCAAAAATTCAGACTCAGATTTCTCAGTCACTGTAAGCCCGCGTTGTGTAGGATGTAGCCCATTGTTGGATCATTTATACGAAGTCAACATTTGGCAATGTAACAGTCGCACTAGTACACCAGTGGGTATGTGCAAGAACGCAAACATTTAAAATAATCCTTAACAAAACCAAAATGTTTTCATGGGAAAGGATTGGAGCAATTGAACCAATCGAGAAATCACTACTTCACAATTTTTTTCCCTTTTTTCCGCATTGCGTGGGCGCAAGACTTACGGGCCTGGATTCATTTGGTAAAGCTGAGGAAATTTCTTGGGACAACTGTAAGAATCGTTTTTTTTCCATAGGGATGATTCCTGGCCTTCTATTAGGGAGATATTTGAGATATGGCGGAGAGGAGCTGCTAGTTAGAGGCAAACACTTCATGGAAGATGCGAGGAATTCCGTCAGCTGAAAAAGACATGGACTTTTTGAGGCTACGTAAGCATTTATGAACAACAGAAATAATACCTGGCAAGGTACACATCGGACTCATCTAGCGAGCTAGGAGCAGATGCAACCACAGAGTTCTCTGAAACCGTGAAAACCCTAGCGGAGTAGTTCTCCAGGACATCAGCTCTAGCCTATGTTGAGATTATTACCTTTCCTTCAAAATCGTAAAGAAACGATGTGTATTTCTTTTTACCCATGCTGTCGCAAGGGTAGAGATTTTTCATGACTAATTTGTTGGATAGTTTGTTGTGCATATCAGTAGAAATCGCCTAAGATTAAAGGTAAAATCCTTGTTGAACTTTCTATTCAAAATCTGCACAACCCTAGTGGCTATACTTTCAGATTCGGCACATAGCTCCGGAATACTACAATAATTTGAAATGGCATGACAGCTGGTTACTAATGATGTATGATTTTGCCACCAATCCTTCCATGTCGTTGCGTTCCCGTATTAAGCGCAAGTTCGCCAAAAAAGACGAGTTCAATTTTTACGGTGTCGGGCCATATGAGACTAGTAATGTGTATAAAGCAGTTGCAAAGGTGAGGTTTTTGTTCTGTCCGTCTTTTAATTCCCTGTTCATATTGTAGGAGACCTATCAAATACGTAGAACAATTTGAATTGAGCTTTTCCTTTACATTTACTATTGCATTTTTCATTCTGTTCACTGTCATGCTTTGAGACTAATCAATTTTTGAATCGAAGCTTTCAGGCACTTCATTTAAGTGGAGGTTTCGTCGCTGCTGCAAAGGTGGAATGAACCTGTTGGGTTTTCAGTTTTTCTTTTCTCTAGTTCGTTTCTGCTCCCTTCCTTCTTTGGTAGAATGAAATGCTTATGAAGTAGCAGTAGCAATTATGAGACTAGCAATGCCATGAGCTTCTTCCTTGTACTCATACTTCTATTGAACAAGTGGTCTCAACATTAGGTTTGTCTTTGATGTCTCTCTTTCTTGGTTAAATTCTTGAAGGCAGAGGTAATGGGAAAGGGTATCTGAATTTTTTAACTTCTATCAAAGCGGTATTGATTTACGTAAACTATGCCGTTCGTATACTAGCAGTCATGGAGCATATTTATTTCATATTCTGAGCTAGCATTGTCATTGAAAGGGATATTTTGTTTTCATTAACTCGCATGTTGTGCCATTGCATTATTGATTTATAGTTGTATTAGTGCTAGCTGTCTTGCCTATTCTGATGAGTAGTTTCTTGCCGGTTTCAAGTCTGCTATTGTATTGCAATGTTTCTTGCCAGCAAATTTTCGGATGTTTGACAGACTGTTAATCAGTGTTAAGAAAGTTATGTGTTGTGTTGCGCAGTGCTCAGGTGTTGTTAATGACTTTGGTGGCTCTATTAATGCCAATGCAACTTGGATGATAAATGCTAAGCAAGCATAGATAGTGCTTTACGAGTCTAGATCGACATAGCATAAAGGCATGGAGGAATATACCCGAACACTCCACTTTAATTAAGTTCATGGGTCTCAAATTTTCATTTCATTAAGATTTCGAGGTTTCTAAATTATTGTCGTTTCTCAGAGAAACTAGCTATCGAAGCTGATGCTCATTTTCAATGTTTTGTTCCTTTCATTCGCTAGTTCATCTTACCTTTTTTGAATATGAAGGAGCCTTTTTCCCTGTGTAAAGTTTATATTGTAATATATTTCGGAACGAAAATTTAAGAAGACAGGATTCACTGGTGTATTCGTGACCGGGATTACGGCTGTAAGGCTTTAATTAGACTCTCTGGTTGCTTACAGCGACTGCCTCTCGAGTAGGGTAAACATCCGACTGCAGCGATTCGTTAAATAAGTGCCAGCTGGTTATGTAATTAGTTCGAACTAGTTGCTATTCCACACTGTTAGCAACAGACTGAAGGAAGGCATTTTAATCTAAAGGTTCATGGTTCACGTCCATGCACCCTTTCATTTTCATTGAAAGGAATTGCTCTCACTATGAGAAATCCTCGTTTGTTCTGAAATTATTTGAGTGTCTTCTAGGTAAAAGCTGCAAGGAAACTAATCATGGCAACTTTTCGTTGACGAAGTGGAATGAATCAGAAAGGGGCACATAGACTCATTGGATGTCGCAGCTTGGTTACCCTGGGGGTTGAGATTCTCTCGCCCACTGAACTAATTTGAAGTTTCGTTCATCGGAGTGTGGAGGGTGAGGTAGACTGGGATATAATAGAATACTATTTAACAAGTCTTTTGAAGTGATAGAAGAATTTGCTGCTTAACGACGAGAAATCAACGTGCAGGAGTCATAAGTTATGATAAAAGCATCGTAGAATTGGAAAATGTCATCAATAAGTTACATGTGTAGCGGGTTGGTTTCAAACATCATGCCCTACATTACATTACTCTGGAGGTTGGTCACGCTTTAGCCCACTTTAGTTCTTTTAGTTCTCTTATTTCCTCCTTACATTTACTATTTACTTTTGTTTTCTTCTTTTTTTGTTGCCTGTTCGTTATGTTCGTTATTAGTTCGCTATCATCATTCACGGTTTTTATCAGACTCAGTTTCATTTTATATTATTCTATTCATGTACGCAAGGTACATCTTCTAATAAATAAATAAATAAATAAATAAATAAATGAAAGTTAGAATTACGGTGTATTTTTATCCCTGTTTTATTTTCTAAGATGGCTTACTTATCCCATCAATGGAGTAATAGGAATGAGCGCTTGTCCATGTCCTCAGCTAATCCAAAAATCCCGTAATCAGGATGGGTAATTTTGCGGCTAAGCTGATTGTTTACAGTATCAGATGTTATGATAATGTTAATGTGGTTCCAACGATATTTACTTGGATGGAACATCTCGATCTGTCATTGCCATTTCAATATAATGGTACGACAAAACCATAATTCAATTAAAAATGGATGCTCTGAAACTGAATATCTCTACGCAAGAAAGGCAATCCTTGGAACTGCCCGGCCCTCAGAAACTTTCAATCTAACTAGACTGGCTTGTTTGTATCGCGATTGTAAAGAACTCTACACAAGAAAATACTCGAATCGTATCAACGATGTATTTCGTCTAAGTCATCTTAACTTTATTGGATTCCCAGTAAGTTTTTCATATTGCAATTCACTCTGACGAGAAGAGAAAGAAAAGTGAGAAGAAGGCTTCACCAATGTGAACGAACTGCAAAATGCAGAATTGAGTAATACCGCTGTTCGATCGAAGGGATGCGCTTTTGGAAGCAGTAGTAATTACCCGTTTTTCGAACTATGATCCATCAAACAATACCTATCTGCCCCTTTGTTGCCTTCTGAAGTTTCAAGCAAAGGCAGCATCTTTATCGAAAAACAGTTTAGCGTAGATTTTCCTACAAATTTGAGCAAAATTTTTCGTTGAGTTACGGGACGGTTTTTCGCTTTGAGGTAGGCAATTTCGTCAGGAATCGCAGCGTAGTTACGGTTCTTTTGATCCAAAAGTCGGTGTGCCACGGAACAGTGATTTGCTTTAGTAGAGTAGTAATTTATGTAGCTTTATGACTGGAGATCTCTCGTTCTAATATGTATCTAGTACAGATGTGTCTTAACTCTGAGCCTTTTTTCTTTTTTCTTGGCTAGTTTGAGTTTTCGCCTCCTATGTCAGCAACACAAGATGTGCCCTCGAATGTGCGTTCCTCATTACTGCCGTTGTTTTTCCCCATCACCAGGGAGCTCAAGAGGAATTGAGGAAAAAAGTGTCTATTCAATCAGACCAGCGTGGATCTCTCGGTAGTAATTCTTCCTTCATCATGACACTCATTCAGATGCATCGGAAATCCCCCAATAACATGTAGAAAAAGTTGAAATGACCTAAAAATAGGATGGCCAGCATCAATCAGACGAATTCAGCTATACTGTGCGAGACTCATAGCTCGGGGGTGAGTGGCAGTAGGCAGTGTCGCTTAATTCACTAGTTACTTGACATAATGGTTATTGATGTGCACCACTCTCAACGGCAAAAGGTTACTATTGGGAAACCTAATTAGATGAAACTTGTACAGGCTAACTCACTGTAGAGGAATTGTGGGCCTAGTTAGCTCAGATGAAAAGAATCAGATCGATCCCAACCATTCGGAGCCACTGCTCTCTCCATTATTGCCAGTTGCCGGTAAACTGTAATTACTGGTATAATTTTTTTAGACACAGAAAGCTACTTTGATACAGATTACATGGTCTTTTCATCGTGTAAGATGGCCAGCGATTCGAGGTAGACGTGCATGTCTTTGAACTCGTTGTACAGACGAACTTACTGTTTGACATAGTGATCAGTACATACTTTGTTCGTGGTTCTTACTTATAATGACTTCATAAGCAAAAATTGTGATGTAAGTGAGGTGAGTGAGTGAGTGAGGGATAATGGAGTAAACAGACCTATATGAAATTCACGACCCAGTACTTTTTTCCCCCTCGTGAATTCAGGTTCTGAAAAATAGGAATAAGAGTTTCTTTCTGGATTTATTTACTGACAATCATTTAAATACTTGCAGCTCCCTCTCCCCCACCCCCCTATACAGTTCGAAAAATCTCCCATCCCCGTAGTTCCGATAATCGTTCTCCCGTCACCACGAACACCCGATCATCTAAGATGCTTATCTCTGGTAATGCAATCATGGCTTCACAGGGGTTTGTCTAGGACTAACTGTAAATCTATCTCACTTGTTTTGACGTAGAACGTGAGGAGTATTGAGGTAAATAAGATAGGCAGCATTAGTTGACAATTATTCTGAATTAAGGAAATCAACAAGCCTGACAAAAGTTCGCTGGGTAGATCAGTATCGATAAATCAAGTGCGGCGCAGGGAGACCTCGGTATAAGGGTGTGTTATTTCCCGCCTCGAGTCGATTGCTTTCCTGGAAAGTCGTCTCCGGATCCATTTACGAAATATCTTCCTCCCTACTTCCGTTGAACGCTTACAGCGATTATCATTCCCCATTTTGATAACGCCGCTCATTCGATCACCATCCAAATTTGTTGTGTTTCAGAATACCTGCAGGTCTATACGTGCTTTGGCTTACAAAATATCCTCGATGCAGCCACCGATCTTTTTCTCGTTGAGATTTTTCATCATTTTGCCATTTCTCTATGAAGCTGCTATGTGTATTATAGTGGGGCTTCTTGTTTCTTATTCCTTGACTTTGGCCCTGTACTTCGTGCTACCAGGTTGGGAGAGGCTCAAAAATAGTGGGTCAAAAGGGCCATTTCTGGCAGAATCATTTTCACTCCTTTTTTTGGCATTCAGAAGGCCATTTAGCGGAAATGGACCATAGTTCTGTACTCAGTGCTCATGTCCCTACACTATGCAGAAAACCATTTTCAAAAAGCGTCCCACGCCCTGAAAATCTTCCTTGTTAGGGCTAGAGCACAGAGAAGCAAGGACAAGGAGCAAGGAAGAAGGATAGCCGATTTTGCGCGCTCATACTGTTTTTTTCTTTTCTCAGCCGAAAAGAACCGTCTCTAGACAGAAGTGAAGTCGGCTGACCTTCCTTCTTCTGTGCACAATAACTCTCATGCTGGAAAAAGCGGTGCCCTCTCACGTCTCCCTTCAACTACATTTTCACTCTGAAGCTTCCTCTAGTAGATATGCTGGCTTAGTCAGAATTTCTCAATGTAAGCTTTCATTGACAGGAATCCTACTATATGTAGCGCGCTAAGTGTGTCTGTTGTTTTGTCCGTGTATTTGTGTGTGTGCATATGTGAGTGTGTATGTGTGTGTATATGTGTGCATATGTATGTATGATGTATGTATGTATGTATGTATGTATGTATGTATGTATGTATGTATGTATGTATGTATGTATGTATGTATGTATGTATGTATGTATGTATGTACGTATGTATGTATGTATGTATGTATGTATGTATGTATGTATGTATGTATGTATGTATATGTGTATATATATGTATGTATGTGTATGTATATGTGTATATATGTTTATATGTACTTGATGTGCTTCGGTCATTGCCATGTGTTTTTGATATTGGATTCATTTCTCATTATAGGAAAACCTTGTTCCATACCAGTTATTCACTTTCTTATGGCGGACGAGTATTTCCCCCTCGACAATTTCGCTCTGACGGATTTTGTAAAACATCGCCGTTCTCTCAAATAACTTTTTTCTAGCATGGTGTCATCAATCGTCACTTTCTAGCATCAGCGAACCTCGTGAAAACAGCGAACCTCGTGAAAACTTCAGCGAATCCGACGTTTAGACCATGATCGACTTTCTCTTGAACTCTTTGGCATGAGCTTTACATTTGAGTGTGCTATCTCGAGTCTTCCGAAAATTTCAATTTAACTGGGCTAACGTTTCGGTCACTCCACCTTCGTCAGAGCCTGAAAGTCGAAGAATCAATTGAGATCGATTTTCACATAAGGCCGGAGAAAACACACGACAGTTCTTAAAGCCAGAAGACCCCACCGTGGATCCGATCGATACAGGAGTGCTACGAGGCCTAACTCAACCTAGGTCGCCGAAGCGCTAGATCGACCCCAAGAAATAATTTCTACGTCTGAGGCAAGAGAGGAGATAGGCTTGCTCATTAAATGCAGAAGTTATGTCCGAGTGGTTGATCTGGTGCTCTGGTAACTGACAATTAGATCAACATAAGCCTCGTAACACACTTGTATCAATCAGGTTCGGAGGGTCTTCTGGTTCAGAGACCTGTCTTAGGTATGGTCTGGCCTCACGTGAGAATCAGTCTCATATGAGTTCTTCGACTTCGACACTCTGAAAAACAAAGCAGCCGAAATGTTCGCCCAATAAAGTTGAGAATCTTGGAAGGCTAAAGTAATCACACACGTACACACACACACGCACACACACACACATACACATGCACACACAGACACACACACACACACACACACACACACACACACACACACACACACACACA